CATCGCTGTGTCGAGAATGTGCGATACTGACAAATCTATCGAAACTAATGCTAATCTTAACAAAATTGACTGGGTCGCTCCCCATTGGTCGTCTCGACTCGACATGACTGCTTTACTGTCAAACCTTTTAATATGAAGTGAATAAATGTGAAACCGTCTATCTCGGACTCCATTGGCCCTTTCTCATGCAAAACTACTCCGACGGTTCATCGTTCGTCGATGATCAATCGCGGATCGACCTCGATACTTAATAATAATATGTATAGTGTGTATAGTGTAAAAATCATTGTAACTGTCTGTACGTCTGGAAATGAGATTATTATGGGAATAAAGATGATTAATGTGACAACTATGTATTCTTTGAATTGCATCGCTCTGATTGGTCGTTCTACGTTAAGTAATAAGGTTCTGCTTTCACCCGGTGTGAATAGGCTAATAACAGTATGCAGATGATCGCTATTGCAAATAAAACAAAAATGAATGACAAAACTAAGATCCGGAACTCATCCGAATCCATCGCTTCTAAACTTTGACTCTGGCCTCTGATTGGCTCTCTACTCGATTCTAATGACTATTTTACTTAAATATTAAATTTTCTGCCTCAGGATAATTGGGATTGGTAAATGTGTGTGTTTTAAATGTATTTCAGTCGTGTTTATAGGTCAATCTTGTTTTTAATGTGTTCTTAAAATAAATCGCTCGCTTACATATATCTTTTACGCTTATCTCGCGCTATCTGTCTAATACTTGTATAAAATGAATAAATCACTCAAAAATAAAAGAACATTCGTAAAACCTCTAACATGCTTAATTGCACCTGTCATAATTAAAAACAAAGAAATAAAATGAGATAACTCTCGCTCGGAGATTCGCGCTTTGTCGCGTTTCGCTTTAACATGCGTTATAATATACTTTCAATAAAATACATCAACATCAAAATGAACATAAGAAATAATAAAATATATCGAAGTAACATTCGAAAGGTTTCTCAGCCACGAGCTTACGCCTCCGTGCACTGCGATTGGTCCTCCGGTACCGTCGACTCGACCACCTCCTCCGCTGCTGGGGATTGGCTGGCCACCACGTCGTCAACCTCGCCTGGTCCAGCGGGCTGTTCGGCTCCTTCGGCAAGGATGATAGCTTCCGCTACCCCTCGTGGAATCTGTTCGAGGATTTGTGCGATCTCTGTGTCCTCGAGATTGTTCGCCTCCTCATTGGCCGCCTGTGTCGTCGGCGCTGTCGCCTCCGTCATGCCCGCTCTCGGCACCGTTGCCCTCTGCACGCTCATTGGCTGTCGGATGTCGTCTGCGGCGCAGCGGAACTCGACGCTGGAACGGATGATTTATGACCCGGTTCCAACGGCATCCTGACGCCGCGATTGCGTTTGGCGGTCTTCGGTAGCCTTCGGCCCCACTCGGCGCGTCGAGGCGGTCGCCGCGGTAAGTCCGTTCGCGGACTTCCTAACAGTACATGCTAACGTTAAAAAAATACGGTGGGCACACCGTTGCTGTTCTTCACCCTGCGGGTGGTCGGCTGGGTGGTCTCGGCAGGGCGTTTATGCTGGAACGATGCAGTTTCAGGGGGTGCATCGTTACAAGTATAATTAAATTGTTATTTGTTTATAATAACCAACGAGTGTTCATTCGGGACCCCAGTGAATACCCTATCCCATTTACCGTATATTGCGTATCGCATAACAAGGGCGTGGCCGACGGCCTTGAACACGTCTGCGACGTAGAAGACGGCAGCCATCTTGCTGAAAGGAAAAACGGGGCAACGCAGTTATCCAGGCTTTTTGTATTTATGCCTAAAAATACAGTGGCGACCGTAATATCAGCCTAAGTAGTGAGTGGCTCAGATCTAAATTTTTATTATTTTATTCGTTCCGGTCACAGCCCGTACCCTGGGGGCACCCGTTCTCTGTACAGAAGAGGTTGGAAGCACCCAACCTGGTGAGCGATCTTGTAGATTGATCGTGTCGGGAGCGGGAGCTGGACAGTACTG